CAAAAAAAAACAAAAAAACAAAACAAACAAAACCAACAACAAAACCAACAACAAAACCTCCAACAAAACAGCCCCAAAAAAAACCAAACTGGTAAAACACGTGATTTATCCGAAGAGACTGCACGGGATAAGGCCATCTTTCAACTTTGAGCCATGTGATCTTCCTATCAGTCTGGACCTATTGGTCTGTCAAGCTCTCGACTTTATCAACATGTCTAGTCACGGGAATTACGTCATTGATCTGATGATTGTGAAAAAAGCCGAGACACAGATCTACATATTATATCGAACACGAATTTATCGAGATTACAGTTACATGATATTGGTGGCAACTACATGTACATGCATTTAAATGGGTTGGAAAAATAAAGGGACTAGCCGCGCGCTCACACCAAACACTCGAACGAAAGGAAAGTCGTTCTAGATACTGCACTGACTTGACTAACACCCAAGACGGATTAAGGGTAACACTCGGTCGTTGTCGTTACTTTGGTCTCAACGGAAATAAGGGATAACAGATCTTTTGATGTCGATAGAACGACTGTCGCTCTTTCCAGTGTTTGGTGTGAATGCGCCGTTAAGTCACATTTGTGCTAAAAAGAGTTCTTAATATAACGACACACGTCAAAAGAGACTAGAAAACCAAAGCCCCCATTTACACGTACAGGTCATCGATCGACAAAGTTGATATATACACTGGAATTTATATTGTAGGCCTATATACAAATGTAAATAAGCCTTTTCCATATTTACAATTTTTAAAAATAAATGTTTGTTCGTCTTTTTAGCATAATGGAAATAGTGTTATCGAGTGCGATTGCGAGCTCCGAAAGACTCTTACTAAAAACACGTCTGATTTTGTAGCGGTGAAACCTGTTGGCGCTTAAATGACCAAAATTGTGTCGATAGTGCCGTAAAACATCTACCCAATCAATCAATCAATCGATCGACAAAGTGTAGGATATCGAAAGGACGGCTGGCATCCTGTCAACTTCCCGGTAAAACTAAGCGTGGAAACGAGCAATCCTTTAGATATTGAAGAGTTCTCAGTCCAACCACCAAGTTGTTATATTTTCCGGCCGGCGAACTGAAGGTACGACGACGAGGGAGAGGCGGAGTTGAAAATGCATTCCAAAATGTTCTTAAATATTGGTCAAATAAAAAAAAAAAAAGATGATTTTCGCGATCAGCGACACAAAATTAGTCAGAACCACGCGGTCAACATAATTTAATCCTGGATTACCAAGTTATTTTTATGTGTGTTTTGTCAAGGACTGATACTTTAACAATAAAAAACTGTACGTCTAAATGGAACTTCTCTCGTCGGCAAACTGTCAGTTTAACGATGACCCAGATCTAGCGTCCGTCGGTTTAACTGTCAGATTGTCGATGAATGAACTGTACGTGTAAAGGGACCCTTAGCATTTGAATGGATGAAAAGATTGGATGGCTTCAAAGTGGTTATTATAGTACTTGAGCTCGTGGCAGTGAAGTCACCCACGTAAGCAAATGAGCAAACTTGAAACAGGAGGGACGGAGGCTGTGTGTGCCCACTCCGGGAGCCGCTGAGAATCTCCAAGGCTGACTATAGGCTGATAGGAAGACACATGGCACATTGCTCACGACTCACGACATGTAGGCACGCGACAATCGACAGGCCTTAACCCCCCCCCCCCTCCTCATAATTAGGAGAGACGGCCCGCAACAATGCAAAGGCAGTCCCACTTCTTTCGTCATTATGGAATCTTCTGATGAAGATACTTTGCTGATTGTGCTATCATTCATAATAGATCTATATAAAAAGAAGACAAAAAGCTCACCATGTGGTGTCGTGAACATTTTCTCTTAATAAGGAACAAAGCAAGAGGAGGGTTTCAAAGAACATTCTGCTCATTGATAACGCGTAAAGATGACAAATTGTTCTTCGACTATCTAAAAATGTTATACATGTACAAAACTTATGAGGTACTCAAGATAATTATCTAGAGCCCGTAGGTTATAATTTCCCAAACTTGTTTTCTTTCTTCTTTGTTATGGTTTTTTTTTTTTTGTGGTCCCAACTAAGTGGCCGGACTCTCATAAGCTCAATATTATTATGTTTCTTCTTGTTGTCGTCCACCTGTACTGTCACACACCTCACAAAAAGTGAACAGGTTGACTTTTCAACACACGTGGTTTTCTTTACTTTACCGCTGTATCGTGTCGTCCTATGTGTAAGGCGGTACTCTAAATTAATTTTTGTATCCACTTTACTTTTCACGTGTGATAGGCGTTGTATGCCGTGTGCCTTCCTATAGAAGGTCGGCCTTACGGTGAGGGGAAGGATCAGCGCTGCCATGTTGATCGTTCGTCGCAACACCTAGATCTATATATATATATAGGTCTTCATGTAGTGTGAGGCGTAAAGTATACAGCGTACACTTTCTACAGTGCTTTTGGAGGTTTTTTCATCAACACCACACTTAAACCCTAACCGACAAAGCACAGTCCACCTGAACCCCCACGGAGATGTCTACAGGGTCTTGGGAGGAAATTTCACTGTTTCAGAAAGAGCAATTTGTAGGCGAAGTTACTGTAAATCATAATGTTGTAGTGATCCTGTGTATGCAAACAAAGTGCGGTGTTTAATGTACGGCCCAAATAAAGAAACTTTTTCATTCACCAAATTTAAAACATGTTTGGTCACTAGCTTACTAATAATATGAGAAAGCTGTGACCCCCCCCCCTCCCACCTACTCTTTTCAAGCCAGTATGTACACCCGAGTACGACGCAAGAGTGCACCATCTATATTTCTACACAGATCTACACAGTATTATGGTACTGGTACCGGTGCTGCTGTTTCTGGTGCACTCCATCCATAAAATAATATTATAGTGTGCCGACTGGCCTTTTTGGCGTCAACGGTATCGCCGGCGCCCTGAGAAGGATACAACATTCCAGCACAAAGACCAAAACGCTCGATTCAAATTTCTCTCCAAACGGAAATCGAACCGTTGTCTTCTGCGCGTGACGGCAAAATGCCTAACCGCTACACCATAGACGCTAGTTCCCAATCAATGATGATTTCTTCGCAATGAAACACATGTACAGTATCACTGCGTAACATTGCTATTTACAACGATGCATGCAAGAGCAATGCGTCTGTTCACATCATTAACCAGGCACATGTAAGAATACATCTTTTTGAAAGCTGAATTAAAAATACAAAAAGACAAACAACATGATACCATTGAAAGATATAGGGAAAACTAAAAAGAATGTCTGTATGCTGATTTGTTTTTTAGTACTTTATTTTTCATACGTCAGACAATCAGGAACTGCCTCTTTCACCACACCTTGCACACACACACACACACACACACACACACACACACACACACACACACACACACACATACACACACACACAAACGCACACACAAACGCACGCGCGCACGCAGGTACACGCGCACACATAAGCACGTCGCGCATACACACGCACAAATACACACATCTGGTTAGATATGATACAGCAGAACAGAGACTTTAAAAAATACTTGTACAAATATACATGAATGTTGAATATAATTTACTGTCCGTCTCATTTTGATAATCTTTTCTTAACTTTGTCCTGTTCGATTCAGTATTTCAGACATCCGATTGTAAAGAGGAGGAGAGAGATGGTACTGAGTCCTCCTAAAAAGAGGGAAGCGTAGGGAGCTGTGGTGAGAGAAGAGCTCATTTACGAGGCAAAAAAAGGGACGTGAATCGATAGAGCAGCCTATAAAGGGTTAAAAGAACAATTTATTGTGGTTCACAATAGACAAATAAAATGAATGTTGTTCTGGTTTCATCAAAGTTGAATCCTTCGGCAGACATTATAACGTAATGTTATAGTTAACCCGTCCATCGTTCTGACCCGAGGCAGTTCTGGGCTCTTTCCTAGCATTGTGATAAAGGTTCTGGTGTAATTTTGATCAAAATTTTCAGAAAATCGGGAACATAATGTCTCTCCATCCTCTCTACCTTTTCAATTTACAAAGGTTCAACCTACAGTTCAGGGAAAAAACATATAAACCGGTGTGCGTGGGGATTCCGGGGGGGGGGGGGGGGGAGGGTACTATTATTTAATTTCTCCATCTGGATTATTTTGTCTGTATCCAGTGGGCAGTTTTTGTCACACGTGTTTGTTGATTAGCTGAGAGAGTAGGGGATGTTGGCAAAAATGGTCACATAATTTAACAGCAACCGTTCCGTCATTAATACATGTAATACGTTCACATCTAAGATGAGTAGCGCCTCGAAAGCTCTTCCCGGCACATTTCAACATAAACAAAAATGACTATTCTTTTTGTTTAAGCCCAACAGTGTAATATCCTACTAGACAATCACTTAACAATTTCGTACAAATAATCCTCTCTCTCTCTCTCTTTCTCTCTCTCTCTCTCTCTCTCTCTCTCTCTCTCTCTCTCTCTCTCATCCCTCCTCCCAGCTGGACTGCGTATAAGGCCAAGAGATCACTTCGAATAACGATGTAAAATTAAAATCATTCTTCACCTTAATTTAAGGTACACCACGGCAGTAGCTGACAGCCAGAAAAAGTTGATTGATTTTTCAATTTTGGACTTTTTTAGTAGAGTAAAATCTGCCCTATCGATTGGAAATATTTTCAAGTGTCTAAAACATCTTAAAGTGCCCGCATATGCCATGTTTGTGAACATTTTGTTGAAATAGACCAGTATGAATTCGGTTTTTTTTTTCAGTTTTCTCAAAACTATGATTTACTTAGGGGGGTGGGTCACCTGTGAAGAGATATTTCTGAAAGTACATGTCACAGCTCAATCCCACTTTGCATTACGGTTTCTAGATAATATGTTTGCAACGTACTAAAAGATTATTGTGATATTGTAATAAGTTTTCTGTTAGTGTAAAAGCGATTGACAGTATCACTCTCATTTGTGATCAATTTTTTGTCCGAGTATGACACTAAAAAGGCAGTTACTAGAAAAGTATGAGACTTAGGAAAGCAAATCTTTTGTACGTTGCAGGTTGTATATACAAAAACACTGAGTTAAAATATCAAGGCTGTATCAATTCAATCTTTTTCTGAAACCCTATACAGAATTTGCGCGATTTTTGGTCTGTCGAACCCTTTGCATCTGAAGAATTCAGAAAATTGACAGTGAAATCATATAGGGATAGTGTGTTTCTGTTTCTTGACTCATATTGGTTATTGGGAAGCCCAGTATACTTACTTTAGAGCCCAAGCAAAAATGTTCACTTCAGCTGTACCTAGTTAAGCCTTAGCCCCCAACAGTTTAGTAAAGCTCGAAGCCGAGTGAGCCTCACTCCCGAATCTCATCTGTGCCACAAGACAAACGGAGAAAGATATGACATTATGAGACAGAAGAGGTAAAGATAGGCCGAGATGAGGAAGAGAAGAAAGATGACAGAGAGAAAAGGAGAGAGAGAAAAAGAGAGGCACACACACAGAGGGAGAGAGAGAGAGAGAGAGA